CCCCTCTTAACCCCTGACACCTGTGCTGCCACGGTGCCACCGCTAAGAGGGCTTCGAAGCTGACGCACATGCAATGCCAGTACTACAAAGTCGCCCGCGGAGGCGACTTGATCCCCATCGTAGGCGAAACGTACCAGAACAGCAGCTACGCGGCCTCGGTGGTGGAGACGGGCCACGCGTACTGGCTCGACCTGGTCAAGGGCGCCGTGGACACTAATACCATCAACTACAACCAAACCTCGCGCCCGGACATCCGAGAGAGCTACGTCTCCCGGTGCGAGGCCACGTTGCGGCTCGGCCTCCCCGCTGCGTCGGACGAGAAGCCGGCCGCGCCCAAGCTGGAGAGGTTTCAGCAGTGGTTTTACCTTGACTCGACGTTGAAGCTTATTGAGGAGAATGTCGTGGTGTGAGCTGTGCGTTTGAGGTGCGATGGGCCTGGGGGGGGTAGGGGGCGCTACCAGGCAAGTTGGGAGGTAAGGTGTAACGTGTTAGCCGGTCTTGGACTCTTGGAAGAAGACATTGATCTACCAAGGCTTCAGCAGGTAATGAAGAATGTAATGACTATGTAAGAACATTCCAAGCTCGCATGTTTTCCTCCTAATTCTCTATGGTAGGTTTGCCGTTTAGTCCGGGTTGTGATGATGTCAAGTTCTGACTCTGCCGAGCTCAGGTTGTATGCCATAGTTACGAGCGCCAGGGGTTCCAAAATGAAGGTTGAGAACATGCCCGTCAAACGCAACATGAGGTGGGAATGTCAATAAATAGAGTGTGAGAGACTTCTCTGCCCACACGAATGGCATCGGACTGCGCACGCGTTCATAGAGACTGGCGTCTGTCGTGGTTGCTCTGTCGTTGTTTAGTGTTTGTTGAGAGTTGAGACTGGAGACTGGAGACTCGAGCACAGTGATTCAAGTGAGGACATACCTCGTCGCTCGATTCGGAGACTCAGAAAACCGTGCGAGTGGTCTCCTTTAACAGAGCCATCGGAGTTAAGACATCACACATGCCGTACAACCACGCATATACATACATCTCCGCCAGTGAGCTCGGGGCGGATTCGGCGATAGGGAGGCTGATGCCACCAGGCATCGGGGTTAATGTCGGCGATAGTCGCATCAGAGGCACGGGAGACGGTATAAATAGAGTGTAGACGGATATAATAGACAGGCTACTTTTTATATATTAACGTATGCGTGCCTTGTATAAACCTGGAATGATGTTTTGCTGCCTTCTGTTAAACCCTCGGGCAGATAGTTGGCCTTATTGACTGCTACCTGCGTGTAAGAGATTAAGAAGCCTGAGAGCACGTTGAGATCCTACTGAACGGTGCACCGCCTTCTCTGAGGACGCTCGCCTCTAACCGACTACACCAGGATATGGTAGATTAGAAGTAAGTGAGCTCTAGTAAGTAAAGGATTCTTCTAATATAGCTGCTGTATTGTATGCTTTATCTTCTGCCGTGTTATATTTTACTCCCGAAACCAAACCAAACCATGAACCATCCCCATAACCTGGCCTAGAGCAAGACGGAAAGCCAGCCCAATCCAAATTGTCTATGGCACCCAGCCAAATGACCTCTTATTCTCCAAAGTCGACTTGTGAAGTCGCTTCAGGCAGGAATCCAACAGAAAAAAGTCGAGCGCATAGTTGATTATAATAAAAAGGGGTGGTTCTTGGGCCCGCCGTCCGTCCTACCCAGTCAAGATAGAGTAGAACGGCGAAGGAAAATATTGAGAGAGGATCCTGCTAAAAAAAAAATACATAACCGCATGCCGTAATATCATGATACCTCCATAAAATGTTGTCAGATCAATAAATAGATACCACCCCCGTAACACATAATGTCGTCCATGCAAGCAGTAAGAAACGCCAGACCAATGATTGAATAATCCTCCGTAATTTCAAAAACAATGCGAAAAAGAAAATAAACTCCAAACATGAACAGCGTACGAAAGTCGTGGGTGGCGATGGTTTGTGCGCATGCGCAACAGACAACCGAGGCCCCTTCAAGGCTGGATATCGGTAGTGGCGCGGACGGACCAGAAATCGTTAAACGACTTGCCGATGTGCTTGAACGAGTTGGTCATGCCCCTCCGGAACGACTTGTGGCGCGGGTGCTTCCCCCGGCCGATCCACAGGTTTTCGAGGGCGCGGGGCGAGGTCCAGAAGACGAGGCCGGCGATGAGCGGGTTGAGGAGGAGACGGCGGAAGTAGGGGACGTCCGGGGCGTGGTGTTTGGTCACGTCGTATTCGAGGAAGAGGACGACGTTGCCGAGGACGTTGAGGAGGCGGACGATGCTGTGTTTGTTAGTGTAAACGGTGGGAGATGCGCAGGACAGTAGACAGTGGAGGGGGGGGGGAAGAAAGAAAAAAAAAAAGGAAAAGGGGGAAAAAAGGGAAACGAAGAGGAAAAAGACGTACAGATGAATGACAAGCATGATTTCGGCAGCTATAACACCCGGATCGTTGACCTTTGGCACAACGACATACATCGGGGGAATGCCGAGAGCGAGGATGGAAAATTCGAGGCCACCGACAACATGGTAGGTCCTGACCTCACGACCTCGGACCCAGACAATGCATAGGATGACACCCATGAGAAGAAAGGCCAGCTACAAAAAGAGTCGTTAGTCAACCGCCAAGTACACGAATTTAACAGGGTAGGACAAGACATGTAAAAGATAAAAAAAAAAAAAAGGAAGAAGAAAAAAAGAAAAAAAAAAACACCCCCCCAACGTACTATGCTCGGCACAACAACCAAAGTATTCTGGCCAAAAAGCCGCCAGAGGAGAATATACGTCACGAAAGCGATGCCAGACCGGAGACAAACGACGGTGTAATGCCCGATGAGGACCAACTGGTACGTCTCGGCGCATTTCGGGTGCAGCTCCCACGCCGAACGCGGCCAGTACTCCTCCTGCGCATGGTCGACGTGGCAGGGCCAGCCGCACCAGCGACACACGCGCACTTTCCGCTCGCCGGCGTCGGTGAGGACGTATTCGCCGGGCGAGAGCTGGCGGAGCCGCACGGCGCAGTCGGCGCAGTGGCCGGCGAGCGGGACGCTGGGGTCCGGGCAGTAGCCCAACGAAGCGGGGCGGTTGGTGATGCCGCCTTGGCCGTTCCGCCGTCCTCCCTGTTCCTGTTCCTGCTCGCCCTCTTGTCCGTCGTTATCGTTACTGTTCACGTCCTCATCATCAGACGAGTTGCCGTCGGCGGGAGGGGGCTGGGCGCGCTGGCTGAGGGGCCAGACGAGGCGGCGGCGCGACTCGTCGTAGCGCATGCAGGTGCGGCAGACGAAGCGCAGCTCGTTGTCGGTGGCGATGGAGCCGAGGCAGATGCGGACGAAGTCGAGGTTGATGAGGTGGCGGTAGAAGCGGTTGGTGCGGCGGAGGGTCTGGAGGTCGCCGAAGCTCAGGTGGGAGCAGATGAGGAACTGAAGCTCCATGGGGAGGTAGAGGAGCGAGGCATATTGGTTGGAGCGGTGGTGGCGGTAGGGGAATGCGAGGGGGGCGAGGGGGGCGATGGTCGTCGTGTTGTTGGAAGTAGCTGCAGCGGATTTCTTGGTCGACGGGACATCTACTGCTGCTTTCACTGCCGTCGTCGAGTCTGCTGTTTTCTCTGTCGCCCTCGGTATGGGCGACGACTTTTCGTCGTGATGCTTTTCGTCGCGATCGTGATGATGGTCATGCCCCGGTGGAGGCTTCTCGGTGTCTTCCTGGTGCTGCGATTCTGCGGAGTCGGAGGCCTCCATCGGGTGGGACAACTAACTAAGGTAGTGGGGCTCGTGTGCAAGTGACGGCGAGGCTTGGCGACAGTTGAGGGGGAGGGGGGAGACCGTGTGAGTGAGTGGTGGAGAAGGACAATAAAAGAAATAGAAATCAAATAAAAAAGCAGGGCTATAAGATCTGGGTTTGGTGTCGAGTCGAGTCGAGGATGGGGAGAGTTGAAAGGAAAGAATATAAACCATAAAACGAAGAAACGACAGACAGAGCTAGCTCGGATGAGCCACCCAAAGAGTTCCGGTTCTGGCCAAGGCCTGATGGGATGGGATGGAGATGGAGATGTAGGTGTAAGATGGGCCAAGAAGGTGGCCAGCCAAGGGCGTTGGTATGTGTATGTGTATGAATCAACATACCTTTTCTTTGCGCCCTCTTGCTCTTGCATGCACGAAGCTATGGCTGTTTGAACCCGTTGGTACCTCGGAACGTCTCCGTCAAAGGTGACCAGAACAGGCATTCATTCGTATGTTGTGAGGGCGGAAGACGAAGAGCCAAGAGTGCAAGAGTCTCGGCGTCGGGCCAAGAAACACCAAGACCTTTTTCTGCTGACAGATGTGGATATGCCGTAGGGTAGGCAATATACAACGTACGTTGTATGGTAGGTAGGGAGGTAACCTACACCTATTATTTCTTGCTATGAATGAAGGAGACAGTTGGATGAGAAACGGGGACGAGGAAGCGGAGGAAGCGGAGGAAGCGAGCAATAAATCGCAGATCAGACAACACTCTTCGGTGTCATGGCTGGTTTAAGAGAATCTAGTCCAGCCCCTGAGAAGCTTGCGGCATTATATTTTATTTTCTCTTTTACTTTTGCCTTTTCTTCTTCTTTTTTTCCCCTTTTTTTTCCTCCTCACACGAGAACGAGGGTAAACGGAGAATAAAACGGAGTCTAATGGCACCAGCCCATCCGTTTGTACACTACACTATCGCATCGGACAGGGTAAAAGGGCCGGCCCAGGTCCAGGACGGTGGGAACATCGAAAAGGTACGTCGGGAGTGACTATTCCTCTCTAAGGTACCTATACGCGTGGCCATGGAACATGTTCTTGGTGGTATAAGTGTATAAGTCGAGCGTTGGCCATGTATTTGGGGGAGTATTCGCACTAAAAAGTCTCGGGTTTACCCGCCTCACGCTTAAGTCACTGTACCGAGAACATGATAATGCTAAACTGTCTCGCCGTACTGATGACAAACACTCAATATGTACCTTGCCTTCTGAAGGCATTCACATCAAGTTAGGACCGATGTAATTACAACGTAATAAAAACTGGGGCTCCCCTTAGTTCCCGCTCGCTTGTCGCGTTGGTTGTTAACCGACTCGGATGACGACAGTGACCTGTTTGTTTTTTGGGTTTCACTTCGTAATCAGAAGTATACCCGTCCGTTCCCGTCCGTTCGCTTCGTTTTCTTTTATTGTTTTCCTCACTTCTACCCCTTCTTTTGCTCTTAATTAATCCCCCCTCCTCCCAACCCCCCGTCTGTCCTGGTATCCCCCTATCATATTCCTCCCCCTCGCCCCCTCGTCCTCACCCCGCCAACCCCGTTTGTTTTATTCGACAGAGCTAGAGACAGGCTGGACCTAGCTACCAGCGGTCACCTGTGCAATAAAAAAAGGTGGTGGGTGGGCAAGGTCAAGGTCACGTATAAGAGAAGATCGAAAATCCCTCAGCCTAAAGAAAATGCCAACTGATGGTTCTGGTTCAGAGAAGAGAAAATAGACCGGCCCACGGCACATGCGACAATCCCAAAATGGGATGCGCTGTGCGACCCCTGGAATTAGAAAACGGGCGACGACTTGCGCCCATATGCCCTGTCGTCCACTGCTGCCCCTGGGAAGGGAGGGGTTGAAAGGGAAGGGAGGGGTTGAAAGGAAAGGGGATCAGGGACATGTCCCCTCATCCACTAGCTAGTAGTAATAGGAACAGCCAGCAGCTGCCCCTTAGTCCAGGGCGCTCGCCCGCCCCTCCATCATGATAAGACGTGGTAAGGCGCCATGCTGCAGGGTTCGCTGCAATGCAGTTGCTGTCCCCCCTTGCGACGACGCCCGCATGGTCGCATGTCCGAATGCCCGCATCCCAGGTGGAGAGTGCTATCATCTATGTGCCATCTATTGACCGTCGCTATACCTCGTCCTGTCTTCCTCATGATGAGGCATCTTTCAGCGGCGGGCTGGGTGGACCTGGACGGTCCCTTCTGCAGCTCAACCGCTGCCCAGTTATGCAGTAAGTAGTAACCTGCAACCCGGGTACAGGTACACCGTACACCGTACACCGTTACAGGACGACACAACATTGTCCGAGATAAGGACAGCCTGTCACTGACCGCCATAACGGACGTCTCGGGACCTGACCGAGATAAGGTATGCAGCTCCCTCCTCCCAGCAGCGAGCCTATCATCTGCGTATTTCCGAGCTCGTGTTCGCAAGCGTAGGCTGAAATGGAATGTGAAGAAAAAAACAACAGGAAAAAAAAGGAAGGAGGGAGACAAGGTTGTAAGGAACAAAGTCGGACCATCTGCAGACTGCATCAGAGACTCACTCGCTCGGGGTTGTGGGAGAGTCATTGGACTGTGTCGACACAGTCGGGCCGGCATCCATTCAGCATCCGCCGGAATTGCTCCCTCCCTGATTTTCACCCTTCTCCCTTCCCTCCTCCTCGTGCTCCGAAAAATACTCGAATCCTTTCGGCACCGGCGCTTCTTGGCCGTCTGGACCTTCCGCGCCCGGGTCGGCGTCGGCTTCCACCACCGGTTCCGGCACTTCTCTCGACCGTAGCTCCTCCGTCTTCGGCCGCCGCCGCTGCTGCTGCTGCTGCTGCTGCGCCGTCCCCGGTCCCGGCCGCAACACGCTAGTCATCCACCTCGCCCACTCCCAAGGCCGGCCCTCCGCCGGCACCGAATTAAAGTACTCCCACCCCATAACGCCGCCAAACTCGGCATGTCTTGCCCGCAACCCCAGCAGCACCGGCCCCGCCACCTCGCACGGCACCCACCCGCGCCCGTTCTCCGGGCTCGTCAGGAACCCAACCACGAGCTTGCGCGCCGCCCACCCTTTCGCGACCATCATCTCGTAGAGCAGCGGCGACGCCACGTCCCCCCACCCGTTGTAGAACTGGGCGTTATACCACGCGACCTCGTCCCCGCGCATCAGCTCCAGCACCTCGTAGTCGAACCCGCTGAGGTTACGCTCGGCGTCCAGCATGGCGAGAGCAACCGGCGCCATGGAGATAATGAACCCCCGCCCGAAATCGGCCCGGATGCGGTCAATCAGCCGCAGGATCCCCGCGAGGCTCATCGGCTCCTCGACGTCCAGGTCGATGCCGTCCAGGCCGTGGTGGCGCATCACGTCGCGCAGCGGAGCCCAGTAGCGCTCGAAGGCCGCGGCGTCGCCGTCCAGCTTGGCGTAGGTGCCCCGGGCTGCGCCGCCGAGCATGCCCATCACCCGAATGCCGGCGGCTTGGAGGGCGCGCAGCTCGGCCCACAGCGTGGCGAAGCGCGGGTGCGACGGGTGGTGGTCGTTGAGGGTGATCTTGGCCGGGTCGTCGTTGATGTGGAGGGCCGCTACGATGACGTGGGTGACGCTGATGCCCGGCTGGGTGAGGATGGGCAGGATCGAGATGGGTCTGCCGTCGCGGGTGTGGTGCGTCTGGTAGTAGGTGATGACCCGAGGGAGCCACGCGTCCCTTGCCCCGCCTTGGGGGGGAACGGGAGGCATGGCGGCCGGACGGCGGTGGGCCGGGGGGGGGGGGGGGGGGGGGGGGGAGAAGAAGAGAACTGGGGGTCGAGTTGTGATGACTTGTTTGGTCAATGAAAATTATGAAAATTATGAAAATTGGTCTTCGTAAGGCCCAAGCGGCCTCACCAGGGTGGCCGGCCTGAGCTAACTTAGTGGGCAAGCTAGGTACAAAAGGTGACCTCGAGGACAAGGAAAAAGAAAGGGAAAAAAGAACTGGAAGAATGAACACTGAATGACCTCAATCTCCTCGCGATAATTTAGGGGAAACCGTTCGCGCTCCACTCAAGAAACGCTGCGGAGTAATTACAGTGCACAGGTCTGTCGCTGGCGGGTGACCTCCACTGACGTACAGGGGGTCCCACAGAAGACGGCGCTGTAGTACACGATGAATAATGAGTAATAACAATAATTACGCGTCCTCTTTCAACTTTCAACACAGTTACCCCGCGTTTTCACATGAAGACAATCGAGTCAGTCACTTGGATATTCAACGTCCTCCCCCGCGGTGGCAGCGCTGTTACCCCGCCCGGTCCATGGTTCATGGTTCATGGATCCCCCAAACAACATAGCGAACTGTTCGGCATCACGCCTCTCGCCACCTCTAACCAAGTGCGACAACACACAGCTCATGGTTGCGACGCCAGGTGATCTCCAAAGACCTCGCACCCCTGTTGTATTTACTACCTTATAAAATACACCTTCTAGCCCACTTTATCCTATCTGCCTAGCTCACTGCGTGCACGAGACTGACACCATAAGACGACATAAGCTCCCTCTGCTATTCCTCTGCCTCATCGTGATGCAGCCAGGACAGGATAGGGACATGTATTGTGTTGATCAACGAATACGCCCCGTGTGGGAAACCGAAAGGTATGAGCTCTATGCGGTGCAGGGAAGTGTATGTTACAGAGAACGTGATTCTGCAGTAGCCGATGGGCCCATGATCATTTGGACGAGTTCTCGTCAAGGAAACCTCTTGTTCCTTATTCGTATTGCGCAGACTAATTACAGCACAGATGCCAGTCGTCATCTTAATAAAATATCTTAACTCACAGAAGCTATACATAGGGTATCTCCCCCGTCCACATACCACGCACAAGCAACAGGTTGTGGCCATGACATGCGGGTTCACCAAAGAATGTATAAAGGCAAATTCGTCCGCAGCCGTAGTTGCGCAAAAAGACCTTGCGTAAAAACGGGAGACATATCATATCGAAACAAAAATCAAGCATGACTAGAGTTTAGCCAAGGCTAAAATTGAAGGGAAGAGGCATAAAGGAAATGACAAACAAATGTTTCATCAGCCACGGTTAACAAATTGCAAAAGATAGCGGTGCTTAACACTTGTCTCACGGCGAGTAGCAACCCCCCATCATAGACAAGAATCAACCATAACTCCTGCCAACTAACCATGGTGGCGACGATGATGAATATGTCCATGCAGATGGCGCTTAGCTACGCTGTCAGCATGAGCAGACGGGGCCACTGTAACTGTTGTCGTCGAATCATAGTACTCAGTAACGTAGACAACCTCCTCGTCCCAGTAGATAACAGACACCTTGTCTCCCTCCGTGACCACCTGGGTTGAATAAAACGACTTGGTGGGCTCTGCGGGTGGCTCAGGGGCCCATGTCGTTTCCGGGAATTCCGGTTCGGGGAAGGCTTCAGACGATACAAGATCCACAGCCGCATTGAAGTCTGGCTGGATCTCGGGAAGAGCCTCAGATGTAGGAACGGGCTCGGGAAGAACAATTGCGATCTCTGAGGTGATGGGGTTGGGTGCCAGACTGGGTACGGGGGAGTCCTCTACGGGCGCGTCGCCTCCGTATTCTTTGGTGCCGTCTTCATAGATGATGGGCACATTGCCGGGAAGGGAGCGCAGAGGACCCTCGACATCTTCGGTGGACAGAATGCTGGGTACCTCCATGGTGCATTCTCGGGCCTCCTCCTCGGATATAATGTCGAAAATGGGACAGTCCAAGATATTGCCTGAGTTTGCAGTGCAAGTATCGAGAGCCTGTTGCAAGAAATCTTCGTCCCATCCCGTCATGAAGTCGCCATGGTAACCCCAGCCTGCAGACAGGGTCAAGTCAGCAACCAGGCGTGAGCAGACTAACGGACGGCGGGAAGAGACTTACCGAGACTGTCACCATTGGCCATTACGAACCTGCCGTTTCGGCCATTGAAAGCCTTCACATTCCAGACGGTCTCGAAGAGCATGGTGGGCATGTGGACGGGGAAGTCATCAGGACATTGACCGGCGCGGAGCATATCGGGATAGGCCATGTGAGATCGGTGATCTTCCGAGCCGAGGTCCTTGCCATTCCAACACGAGGGGAAGGTGATCTCTGTCCGGATGCCATTCGGGCAGTTCGCGTCAATGAAGGCTTTGTCGGGGATTGTGTGCCGATACAGGGTTGGCTCAGGGTTTCCGGCATAGTTGAGGCAGTTGAAACCCATGGAACGCTCCCCCAAAGACTCCTGAGTTGTGAGGCCCTTGCTGTACCATTGGTCGGCAGGTGGGTCGGGCTGGGTAAGGTCCCAAGTGGACCAGTTTCGGCGGTTGGAGTTTCCAGCAATCATGCGAAAGCCAGCTGGGAAAGCCGTCAGGTTATCCAAATGGAACTGGTAGTACCTGAAGCAAAGAGCAAGTTAGAAAGGTCCAGGTCCCTAACATGACGGCACAGGGAGGTGCGAGAATCGAACGGTGCCTGCTGAATGGCTCATCGCAAACAGGGGAAGACAGGATGACTTACGCGAGCATACCGCCAACCTGTTCGACCAGCTCAAACTCGCCGGTCTCACCATCCTGAAAGTACATCGAGGGGTGCCAATACGCCGACTTGTCCTGAGTCACACGGCACGACGTACACTGTCCATTTCGAAGGTCGTCGTAAGTCGCATGCATGGAGATTCCTATCAATCTGGTTTAGTAGCCGCCGGAGTGTAGAAACAAGAAAAAAAAAAAGAAAAAAAAAGACAAATGCGGGAAGAACCGTTGTGAGCACTTACCAGACGAGCCGTGAATAGAGTGAACATGCAGAGCCGGCTCTCCAGGAGAAACAATAGGATCAATTCTGCCAAGGGCAACCCGACCCTGGCATTCCATACGGAAGAATGCCTCGGCCTTCAGGGCCAGGGGGGCCACCAGCAGAGCGAACTGTAGAAGATTCATTGCGACGGGCAGAGGAATCTGGAAAATGGTGATGGAAACGGATGAAGCGTACTGTCCCGTGCGACGAGCTCGAACAACAAAACAAGGGCCAGTGTCGTGATGAATGTCGGGGTCCTGCCCGTAGAGTATGTCACGACAGCGTACCCTTAGGAGTTGGTTTCCGGTCCGTGGACAAAGAGAGACCTCTGGCCAGTTGGAGACGAACACTCGAGGCCTGGTGAATAAGAGTGGTTGCCTTGCAAGGGCTTGTTCGTATCTCTGTCGTGGGCAAAGTTGATATAAAGCCTTAGATGAGACTGACTTGCGGAATCAGTATTCCACGTGGCTCAGAGTAGACCGTCGTTGGGTTGCAGTTGTTGCTCTCTGATATGAGACGAAGAATCACACCGGAGGATAATCAATGGACGTTGCTCTGGAATGAGTCGCCTGGGCCCAGGAGGGGGTGAAAAACGAAGGTCGGCAAAAGTTGGATGGCGAAAAACCAGCAGAGAGCCAGTTATGCGAGGGTGATCAGGCTGACCCAAGGTCGAATCAACTGTTCTCGTCGCGCTGGAAAAAAAGAAAAGAAAAAAACTGTTTCTGAGTATGGGCGAAATGAATGCGATCAACACGAGTGGACGAGTGAGTTCGAGGACCAAGGAGCGGATCAGACCAAGCCCCTAGGGAGTGGAGGGGTGAGGTTGTATTTACAGGAAAAGGGATCTGAAGGAGTGTTGAGAATGGGAGAGAGAATGAGTGTCAAGTACGGTAACTCGAGAGGTGGCGCACAAGGGAGAATAGTCGAAGAATGAGCGGTTCCGACAGAAACGAGAGTAAGAAACACGAACGAAGATTTCAACACGTCAAAGTTGAGAGGTTGGAAGGTGGAAAGTGGAAGGTGGAAGGGGCGACGGAAGTCACGAGAAAAAGGGCGAGTGAAACGGGCAGGCGTGGGAAGGAAGAGAGGAGAAGTGGTAACTTCAGGGAAGGAACGTCCCAGTGATTAGTACACACACCGGGGGTAGCAGGAGGCGCAGAAAGATGCAGAAGACGCGGTGGCCGTCTCGGTACTTCACCCACACGAGGAAGCCAGGAATATCGAAAGGGGTGTACGGAGTAATTACAGATAGCGGGACATCACACGCCAAGACTCTTGGTCGCAAAGGCACGACCGCCATTAAGCATAGGACTAGGGAAGAAGAGAACGGGTAATTTAAGGGGTACACAGAAAGCCAAGACTCAGGGTCCATATGACAGGGGTGTTGTGCCGCCACACCCGGTTGTGACGAACGGTGAAAGCCCCTTGAGAATGCAACGGTGGTATACATTGTATTCGAAGGCGTGGAACATGACCTAATTCATCGACTTTAACTGCTCCCTACGTACGTGTACCTTTCGATAAACCATTTCTGCAATTCTCATGTTCTGTCAGATATTGCCATGCTATTTTTCATGTGGTCTTATAACGTAGGCGGCAAGTGCCTAGAAGATCCCTCAAGATGCGCCGCAGAATGTTGGGTCGCCGCCTCTCTTGTGAATTAATTCAGCAGTAACGGTACATGTAGTATGATATGGTGTTGGACTCGTGGTTGAGCCTTTCAGTCCATTTTTGTCCAAGTTGCTTACAAGTTACTACCGTACCTTTACCCACGACACACAAGGATTGGTGTCCGTGTACATGTTCATGCGGATACTCAGGTAGCGAGAAGACAAACATGACCACAACCACAAACACTTGGTATCATACTACGATGCGAGTGCTCCCGAGGGGAACCAAGTTTTTCGAGCGTCATGAATTTGATTGTACTACGAAGTATTGAGTAGTGTTTTCTGCAGTGTTTTAGACAAGCTATTCGCGGCGACGAGGACGAGTGAAAGGCAAACGCCAAGTAGTAGCGTGCTTCGGGGGAAATGACGAGGGGCAGCTTGGAGCGCCAAATCTGGGGACAAGAGGGGGGCAGGCACCTGACCCATCCATGGCTGTTTTACCCTATTGGTCAGCTGCACTCTCCCCTGTGACCATGATCAACGCCAGGAACGCCAGGAACGCCAGGGGCATGTCAGGGGTGGCTTGGCAACCCGTCCCAAGCTGTCGGGCGTAACTTTTGGTGGCTGTAGTACGTCGCAGAGATGCCTTCTCGTTCACTCCGGAGGTAGTATTAGGAAATCATGAAATCACCAATACAGATAGGATTGAACGACGAGGTGTCTCCCGATGAGACTTAGAATATACTGAGTACCTTATGTGTACTCGGTATCGTGATTGAATACTGGCTAAATTCGTCCACAAGGCGAGAGATACCGAGGACGTCCTACAACGCCGGCCAAGCCTGGCATTTCCGGGGAGGCCTAGTCATTAATCTCATTCCGTCCTGTCCATGCTCCTATTCGCGCAGATCGCGGTTTTAATGTTATATTACCTACCTTATCTGTCTGTTCGAATACAACGTCGTTGTACTGTGTACATACGCGGGTTGTGCCTTGGCGGCGATCATCCCACTAGCCGCAAATAAGATTGTTAAACCGACTTCATGGACAAAAAGACAAAACAAACTGGCTTCGCTATATGCACCCCAGGAATAACTCTCTTATTCTGTAGGCGGAAGGGACCGGTCAGTCCTCAGGGGAGCGCGTAGAGGAGCATCCTTTCCCTAGCCCGTTGCAAGTGCCAAGTTCTCTAGATGCTATTATTCGTACCTTACCGGGAGTCACTAGGCGTTAGTTGTCCTTGGATTATAGCCTATCATTGCTCCGTTTATATCGACAAGATGTGTGGCTATCCTTGGATATCAGACTATCCTAACTTTTGGCCCGGAGGTAGTTAGTATAGCTAATAAGACGTAAGTACGGATAAGATATATTACTAGTGTAAAATTTGTATGAATATATATAAATGCGATTAATTAGACTGCGTATCTATGCCTGCCTATACTACCTAGTAAAACTAAGAAGTCCTGGTCCTGAAATACGTTCACGGATACTATTGCTATGGAAGGGGTCCTGCTATATAGAAGAGGCACTGCTATATGGAAGAAGTTCTGCTATATGGAAGAAGTTCTGCTATATAGAAGAAGTCAGCTTTTCGTCACGGTATCGTGGAAGAGATCTACCTACCTCTGCTACTGTGGAAGAAGTCCTGGTCCCTGGAAGAAGCCCTGGAAAAAGAAAAAGTCTTGGAAGAAGTCCTGCTGTGGAAGAAGTCCTGGTTCCTGAAAGAAGTCCTGGAAGAAGTCTTGCTGTGGAAGAAGTCAGCTTTTTATCACGAAGTGGAAGGACTCTGCTTACCTCTGCTATTATTATAGGAGGGCTGTTGTTGTAGGAGGGCTGTTGTTGTAGGAGGGCTGTTGTTGTAGGAGGGCTGTTGTTGTAGGAGGGCTGTTGTTGTAGGAGGGCTGTTGTTGTAGGAGGGCTTTGTGTGGAAAAGGAAGTAATCTATTATAAATATTCTTAGTTATATTCCAAGTTACTAAGAAAACATATACTAAAATAAATAAATAATTAAGTCCTAACTTCTAAGCTATATTATAGCTCTTCTGCTAGACCTATGTTAAAACTTTAAAGAGAATATTAGTCCTAGATTTTTCATTTATCTAGGGTTTTATTTTTACAATATTTACTATTTTATAGAATAAAATAGCAGGGGTCTAAAAAGCAGTGTTTTAGTGTAAAGTGGTGTCCGAAAGGGGGGGCGTCCGATTGGGTAGGGTGGGGACTTATCAAACGAACGGTGTTTGTATAGGGAAATATCGTATAGGCAGGACCACGACGTGGTCTATAGGGGATCCAGGGGGGATCCACTCCCTAACTAAGGGCTTCGGACCTCGGGTATTAGGATATAATAGGGGCGGATACCGGAAAAGACCGGATAGGATCTAAATAATATAATATCTATAATAGAGTCTTTACCACCTAAATTAAGGGCATAAGAGACTTATATAGATATAACTTAATATAATATATATATATATAATATTTCTACTCTACTAAGTTAATTATCTAAGTGCCTTTTAACGTACGATAGTTATAAGCCCGGTTTATAACGCCTAAATAATAGATATTAATAAGGCTACCCCTATTCTACTATAAAAGTAATCACGTTTATATAAGCACTCTTAAATAACTACTATTAACCTAATTAGAGTAATTAAGAGATTAATTAACCTACCTATTAATTAACTAACCGATAAACTAGTAAAGATATCTTCTAATATATTTAACGCCGAATAAAAGGCGGCCGCTACTACCCTTATTAACTAAAGGGATTAGGTAGTATAGGAGTACGCTATACGCGGTAAATCTGCCTCCTACTAGGATAACTATTCTAATCTAAAGCTAAGCGATAAAGAGGCTAACGCGTATCTCCTCCCTATACCTACGCCGCCTAACGTCCGTAAATATAAGGCCCTCGCCGTAGACCCTAATATAGCGGAGGAGGCTACGGTTACTCCGTCCTCCACTATCACGCTAAAGGACGATAAGGCTATGGACGCTATAGACGCCGGTACTATTATAGCGGCTACGGCCGCCGGTAAGAAAAAGACGGCCGCCCGCCGGAAGGTTACGACTACGGCCGTAACGAAAGAACTAATAACTAGGACGCCTATGTCTATTAACGACCTCTTTAAAAAGGGGTATACACGCTACCTATAAGATCGCCGCGTATACCGCGAGGAAAAGGCAGACTATAATATATAGTAGAAGGAGTTTAATAAGGTACGCTCCTATATTAAAGAGACTATCTATACTATATTATATAACCTCCTCGCCTAGTTATAGGATAATACCGTAAATAACCTACAGGCTTAGATTACTCTCCTAAACGCGCACGTAGGACTAACCCCTATAGACCTCCGTAAGGAAGCCTTAGTCCTATATCGATAATATACTACGCTTAAAAAGGCTATACCTAAGGATATAGACGGCTAGGTTATAAGCTAGAAAATAGCGATAATACACTATAAATATATGGGCGTTTTAGAGCTATAAGCACGGACTATTAAGTAGAGAACGCGTTAAAAGCCTTTAGACTTATCGCCTAAGAATAGGGTAATAACTACCTAGTAAATAACTACGATAAGATTACGGAAAATAAGCTAATGATTAACGACTTCGTAAAGGCTTTAAGGGCGGTTCTTAGTAATACAAAAAGCCTATAATCCTCCGCTATAAAGCCTAGAGTCGGGAGAGACACCTTTAATACCCTTAGAAACCTCCCCGATGCTAAGGATACTACTAATAATAAAGATAATAAGAAGCGTCCTTATAGTAATATATCCGTAAAGGCTATCCCTCCCGTAATAAGGAGGCCTTATAAGATATATAAGAACCCCTATACTACCGCCGCCTATTAGTACGTAAAGCCGGATATATGCCTTTATACCTAGCGCGGCCGCGAAGATATTATAAAGGTTATAGAAAAGAAGATACGTAACTATAGTTTTAAAAGCCGCGTGGACACCGCGATATAGAAAAGGCGGGAAGCCTTAGGGGCTATTATCGTTAATAAAATAAAGGAAGTCTAGGAAAATTAACTCTATAATACTACGCCTATTATAACTACTACACCGCACTAATAGAATCGGGGGGTTACCACTCTATCCGTAAGTATAGTTTTAAAAGACCTTTCCATTACCGTGAGTATACGGCTAGGCGTCTACCCCTCGTAAGATAAGAGGGTAGCGCGCCTTTATACGATAATACTATTAAGATTATGATAAGAATATGGGGTATCTCTTTCTATTAACTAAGCTAGAGCGCTATTATACTACGCAATCCTAGACTTAGGATTATTAATCTATATCTTTAATAATTAAGGCCGTTTTACGGCTATTAGAATACCTATAGATACTTTATTATCCCTTTAAGTGGGTACTTATAAGGCTTCTATCCTCGGATACAGAGACGTTAAGCTACGTATATAATCCTTATTAGGTATAAAGAGGCTACTACGCCTCTATAACGTCGTATACTATAAGGAATTCATTACTAATATAGTCTCGGAACGCTAGCTACGTCTATAAGGTTACCGCTAGGATACCGTAAACGATACTATTATTAGCTCCGCCGATAACCGGCCTATCTATAAGCTACTAGATATCCACGGCTAGTATATAATCGAGCGCGCGGAAGCCACGGCCGCCACTACGTTCGCGGTCTTAGTAAGGCACCCCCGCGATAATCCGTATAGAAGATCACGATAACCGCGGTAACCGTAGAAGACTATAGTATAACGGTAGTATAAACGCCTCGGCTACTACGGTACCGATACTCTCGTAAAGATCGTCGACGCCACTTAGGGGGTAAAGATAAAAGGACCTTATATAACGGACTATAACGCGTGTAGATAATTATAAGTGCCTATATAGATTCAGTGGATACTATCCTTTTATCAGTTAAAGCCCGGAGAGGCCTTAGCTATTAATTTTCACGATCTAGAAGAGTCGGAATCGCTAGGCGGCCTATATAAGTCTATTATATTTATTATAGATATACACATAGATTATACGTAGGATTACTACCTATAGAAAAAAGACTAAGGCTTTATTCTGCACGCGTTAAAAGACGTTTTTACCCTATTTAAGACCTCATTCGATATTAGGCCACGAGTTCTGCGGGCTAATTCTAAGTTATTTTAGCACCTAGAAATCTTTACTTTCCTCGCTACTAAGGGGGTAAAAGGCTAACCGTCGGTACTATACTTATAGGATTAAAACGGCGTTATAGAACGGATTAAAGGTATCGTTAAGAGAAGGGCGAGGGCTATAAGGATTAGAGCTAATCTGCCTATATCTATCTAGCCTAAGATCTTTAAGACTATTATATATCTATATAATAAGACGCCACGATATATTAACGACTAGCGAACGCTATACAAAGGCCTATACAGCCGTTAATCTAACCTTATACACTTATAAGCTTACGGCTATAAAGCCTTTATAAAAACGCGCGATACTTAAGCTAAAAGAAACCGCCTATAAAGGCTAGAACCAAAGGTATAGATCGGTTATTATATCGGATACTAATTCTTAAATAGCTTCCGTATTTAGCTACTATACCTAACGGATATTATCACTCTAAGAGACGTGGTCTTTAACGAAGACGAGATAGTTTAAGGCAGGATTAAAACGCTATAAGCTATAGCTTCCGCTAAGGAAATCAGGGAACGCCTATTATCTATCCGTATTACCTAATCTAATAAGACCGCGAATAGGCTACTATTAAGGGGCATAGCCGTAAACGTATTAGATCTCAAGTCGGAAGACTCTAACACTACCACTATTACTATGGATAAAGGCGAGGCTATCGCTATTACTATAAAAGAGGCTATTACTACTACT